AAGGTAGGTAGGAGAGGAATCTACCTCAAGGAATAAAGGTTGTTTAAATATTATTTTTTTTTCAAACAAAAAAAAAAGATTTGGATCACCGCGACGGCACAGTCAAGTGCATAATGAAATACTATTATGTATTGTCTATTCCTATTGTTGATTATTGATTTAATAATTTTGTTTGATTTTTGATTTTATAGGTTAGATCAGTAGATTTACCACTTTGGGTTATTTCATAGGCGTAGTCAGGTATGTTATATTGTCTATTTTATTGTTAATTAATATTCTTTTTGATTTTATAGGTTAGGGCCGATTCCACCCTTTCGGACGAATGCGGGCGCGGCACTTCGGATGGACCCTTCGGCTCGTCACGGCGATAACTGTATAAAGGATGTATTACAACTAAAGCAGTATAATAACCATAACTAGCGGCGATAAAGTCGCCGCACACCAACCTAATCTAGTTGGTAACTAATAAAAATATTTTGTTCTAATTAGATAAAAAATAATTTTTTTTGGTTGCTTTCAAATTTTATTTAAAAACTAATTAAAATACAATACAACCGAGTGATCTTTGGAGTAAAATTTTAAAAGTTCAACATATTGAACTTTATTAGCAAAATATGTTCCTTAAAACTAATAAACTTCTATTTAAATTATAAGAAATAAATGATAATGCATGATCGATATACCACATAGAAGAATAATGGCGTCGGTCGGGTTATCGAATATAATAATTCGAAAATTATAATCGCAAATCGTAACTTGATTCGATTCCAAAATTATCAACTCCTTTTGGATCTATTGTTGCAACTGAAGCTCTGAATTGACAAACTATTAAGCTTTTTTAGTTTAATTTTCTGGAAGCTTATTATCACTTAAATTCGATTTATCCGATTTCGATTTTGGCCAAAATTTTTTAATTCTGAATGGAATTAAAGAATTCGTCACTTTATGGAAATTGAAACCGAAACCAAATAACAAGCAAGATCCTAAATCTATCTAAGGCCCGTCCTAAGAAAGATTTTAATGACAATTATTTATTTGCACGATTTTCTTGTGTAGTTATCATATATGGTGACACGATAAAGATTTGAAAGGGTAAGAGATAGAATTTTTATTCAATTATAGGATTTCGGAAGTCTATTCTCAAGTCTCTTCAACCATACTCTCATCAAACAAGTCGTACTTTATACGAAAAGTTCCAAATTCTAGCTTTACTATAAGATAATTATTAACAATTTATAATTATGTATGATAAAAACTAATATAGAATCGAAATGTAACATAATTATTCTAGCATACATATTTAATAAGACATTCATAATTGATAAAATATTTATTTTTGATATATTTAAATTTTCGATATTTCTTCGCAGTTACTGCATTAATTTTTTATGGCACTGATAATTGGTCGATGCAAACAGGTTTGATAATTTCCTTTTCTAAAAAAAAATAATGTAGAGGTTGGAACAATGTAATGTTCGCAGTGATTTATTAATTGTGGTGCTTTGCTTTGCTTTGACCATTCTAAAATTTCGCACACATTATGAACATTAACATAACTTCTTATAATAGTATCTTCCACTTTATCTTTGAGTGCGTCAGCACCATAGATATCAGTTATCTTTAACAAATGAACCAAAAAGTTTAAATAATAAGTTTCATAACTTTCTTGTTCGTCTGTAAAGTTTTCTTTCTTATGTAAGGTTGACTTTGTTGCTTCTTGTCCATACAGCCATTGATGAAACACCCGGCATGCCTCTGGTCGAACATCTTCTAATTCTATAATTTAACTTCTTTGCTTGCTGACTCACTAAAGCCACCATAAAACATCGTATTAAAGTAAGGCGATGCGGCTATTTGAAAATAAAATTTAATGGAGAAAAAAAAATTGACTGAAATATTTCTAACATACCTGAAAGCACATATCTACTAGCACCAATTTGTTACTTCTCACTACCAACAAGAAAAATGATATCTTGTTAGAATGATTAATAAGTTTGTTCAATAAAGCTTCAAACAATATATCTTTTCGATCATGTTACATTGTATGAATAATGGCCGGAGAAAATTTTTTAAGAAAATCTTTATGTCTAGAATCTTTCAAGGCTTTAATTATATCAAGAGATGTTGATATAACTGGAAATCAAACATTACCAATTATTTTAGTTATACACCTTCTCATCTTCCAAATATCCATTAAAAATTGATAACCAATGAAATTCTGATTCTTTGAATAAATGTGTATCATATAAATTTGCTGGAACTTCAGATACTGTTCAAATATCATATAATGAAGGAGGTCCTTTGAATACACGATCCTCAACATTAGGATTTTCTACAACATTCTGCAACAGATCCTTGCAAAATTTA